AGGAGACTTGGAGCAAACGGGTGGTATATTCGTTTGCTAGGGCTAGTTTTACAAAGTACCACAGCTGGGTGGTTCAAACAACAGGAAATTATTCCCTCACAGTTCTGGAGGCTAGAAGTCCAAGATCAGTAGGGTTGGTATCTTTTGAAGGCCTTACTCCTTGGCTTATAAATAGCTATCTTTTTTCAGTGTCTTCACAAGGTCTTCCCTCTGTGTGTGTCTGTGTCCTAATCTTCATTTCTCATGAGGATTTATCAGTCATATTGGATTAGAGCCCAACCCAATGACCTCATTTAACCTTAATTACTTCTTTAAAGATCTTATCTCTAAATACAGTCATATTCTGTGGTACTGGAGGTGCGGTGGGACTTTAGTATATGAATTCTGGGGAGGCACAATTCAGTCCATAACAGGTGGCATCCAGTTACTCCTGGAATGTAGCCTCATCTATTCATGGCTACCAGTGGTCCCTCCAGACAAGGCATCAGAAACTTTCTCACTTTTGTCAAAAGGTTTTAGAAGAGGTTTATCTACCATGTATGGCCAAAGAGGATAATAGGCTTATGTGCAAAAATTAGGTAACAGGAAGTGACAGAGCCATAATAAAGCAAAGCTACTGACACAAAGCCCAGTGGCCTTTCTATTGCATTGTACCATTAGTACTGGTTTATAGAGGAAAGGTTCTCAAAAACCATATGCATTCTGTTTATATTAAAGTTACCAGGATGTTCCATTAAATTAGAAAACCATTAGCATTTGTCCATTTAACTGTTTATCTCTCTTGCATTCTCTCCATGCTTCCTGAAATACACATACAATGGATATAATTCAATGTTATTTAATTTCACATATTTCCTTCACTGAACATTAAAGTTAATTAAAATAATGCTTGACATTTATTACCTTAATGTGGCATACACTGTATTCAGTGGTTTACATGTGTTATCTCACTAAACTCACAATAACCCTATAAGCTAACTACTATGGTTATCTCAATGTCAGAAAACGGAGCTGAGGTTTAAGAAATTCAATATCTTGCCAAAAGTCATACAACCAGTATGTGGCAGAGCTGGGTCTATCAGGGTCTGTCCAACTGTCTCTCTGATGGTGATCTGCTTCAAAATATAAGAGGCAAAACTTCTATCACAGAATGAAGGAAAGTGGCATCGTCACTCATGAGTCCCCATATGTAATGAAAAAATGTATTGACAAGAGATAACTCACCAACTGTACTGCTATATAACATAAGCTCTGGCCATCAACCTGTCATTATAAAGTTTGGGTGGTTCTGCATGTGGAACATTTCATGGGCTTTTATGGGTGGGAAACTCCTTTCTCTTTCATAACAAATTATGAGATTCTCTGTAAACAAAGCATTATATCTAAAATGAAATTAACAATAGAATATAATCTTCAGACAAGTGATAAACTACTCTGGTACTCAGGTCAAAATCATTAATATAATGGCTATGACTACCTACTTCTGAGACAACATTAAAAGGAAATGGACATTTCCAAGAGGAAAAACCTGAACATCAAGCACTGCTTTGGAGAGGACAGAAAGACCTACATGAAAAGCAAACAAAGACCAGCTCTCCTCCAGGAATGAAAATTAGGCTATGACTCACACTAGTAAACTTCTTTCTAGAAAAAAAAATTCAATATTTGAATGATACTACAAATTCCTGCTGACCTATTTTAAGTAAACTATTACCACTTCCTAGTAATATTTTTATTTATCCAGTAGACTGTGGAGAACAGCTGTACTCTTTTCTTGTCAAGCCTTGAACTGAAACAATTCTCAGCTGATTTAGTGCCAAGATCAGGACTTCAGCTTCATTGAGAGCTTGGAGGTCCGCTAAAGTGCCCCAGCATCTATTCTCATCCCAAACTGCAGAAAGGCACAGTGCTCTCTGCTGGCTAAAACCCTGGGGCCACAGCATAAAAACCTTCCAAAGGTAAAATAAGATTCCAGATAAGCATGTGCTCTAAAAAATTTTCCACTGCAGAAGGAAGGTTAAAGAAAACCTTTAGGAACAGGAAAATAATACCAGATGCAGGCTTGAATCTACACAAAGGAAGGAATGGCACCAAAAATGGTAAGTATGAGTAAATATATAAGAAAAATGTCCTCATTTTTAAGTTATTTAAAAGATAATTTGTTCTTTGCTTCTCCCTATTCCACAAACAGCCATATGTTGTTGTGCAGTGTCAGTCACATCCCTAAGACATGATGGCTAAGGTCAGAGTAGACAAATTTGTCCATATTAAGGGCCTGGATGCCAGGGCTTCTTTTAACTTCAACGAATGGGAAATTATCATCATCAATGTCTCCTTTAGTACATAAACTACATGGTCTAACATGTCCCAGTATGATTTCACACATGGCAACCTCAGTGGCACAAGCACTAGCATGGCTTTCTGTGTTCCCACCCCTATGTCTGCTGGTTATGGATCAGACATACTCTCTGGAGAAAACTCCCAGGTATGAGGTCATCAAAAAAAAAAAAAAAATGGTGAAGCAGGTGTTAGAGGGCCCCTTAAGAACCAGGGTGTCTCCTGTTACTTTAACAATGACATCTACTTGTTTACCTTTGATGCTGGGGCTGGCACTCCCCTCATGATCACTTTTTCAAACTCTTTTCCTGATATAATAATGAATTTGGCTACATAAACAAGGTGGTATATCTTAGGATATACCTTCCAAGGAGTAAGACTCTCCTGGACCACCAGTCCCAGTAATAGCAAAACAGGATGAGAGAGGTCTCCAACTGCTGGGGAGTCCCTGCCTCAACTCAGTGTAACACAGTGAGAATTTCTCTTCAACAATTTCCATCATAGATTCCCTAAAGAGAGTGGCTTTGAGAGCCCTATGTTGTCACATACCATCAATATAGTATACTGTACTCTATAATAAAGATAATTGTTTAAAGCAAAAAAGTAAAAACAATATGATGGAATTTATAAATGTATAATAGTTTATAATTATGTATGACACACGGGGCGCCTGGGTGGCTCAGTTGGTTAAGCGACTGCTTTCGGCTCAGGTCATGATCCTGGAGTCCCGGGATCGAGTCCCGCATCGGGCTCCCTGCTCAGCGGGGAGTCTGCTTCTCCCTCTCCCGCTCCCCGCTCTTGTGCTCTTTCTCTCTCTCACATAAATAAATAAAATCTTTAAAAAAAAAAAAAATTATGTATGACACAAATAGTACAAAGAACAGGAGGAAGGAAAAGCAGTATACTGTCATAAAGTAGAGAAGAGATGTAAATAATAACATATAATAATATGACTTAAATATGCATGAATAAACCTTAAACACAAGGAAATCACTAAAAAATACAGAGGTGCAGGTAATAGGTTGAGTGGAGATAAAGTGATACCAAAAATAGCCCAAAAAATAAAAGGAAAAGAAGAAAACAGCAACCAAAACAAACAAAACCCCAAAACAAAAAAACCCTGAAACAAATAGAAAACATAAAGCAAGATCATAGATTAACCGAATCACATTAATAGTTACAATAAAGGTAAGTGGGCAGATGGGGCTAAAGAAAACACACCAAAAAAGACCCAATAAGAATACACTTTAAATGTAAAAGCATAGATAGGTTCAAATAAAAGGATGGGGAGAACGATATGCAATCACTAAGTATAAGACAGTTGGAATAGCTATATTAATATCAGACATGGTAAACTTCAGAACAAGAAATATCAATAGGGGAAAAAAGGGACCTTTCATGATGAAAAGGGGTCAATCATGAATAAGACATAACCCCAAATGGACATGCACCCATGCACAGAACTAAAAACAAAAACACAAACAAACAAAAAAAACCCACTAAGCAAAAATTAATAGAGTTGAAAGGAGAAACAGAAAAATCTGCAATTATAGTTGATTTCATTCCTCTCTCAGTAATTCATGCATAAAATCACTAAGGATACAGAAGATATGAACAACATGTTGTCCATAAACTGGATCTAATTAGTAGTTATCCAACACTCTAGCCAGCAACAGCAGCATATACACTGACATTAGAGAAGTTATCACAGACCAAGTGGACCTGAGATACAGAGCAAATCTCAACAATTTTCTTAATACACAATTTCAAAAACTATTATACTTAGTAATGACAGCTAACATTTTTTATTGTAGTAAATATACATTACATAGAATTTACCATTTTAACCATTTTCAAGTGTGCAACTCAGTGTACATTGTTCAAATTTTAGAATATTAAAATAAATCAAAATATGTTCTCTGACTACAATGGATTTAAATAAGACACCAGGCATTCAGCGCGCGGTTTCTGGGAGGATGGGTGAAGGCGACCTACAGAAAGACCCAGGCCACGGGCCGGTAACACCGAACCATCCTTTCGCGCCCGCCTCCCAACGGACGTTCCTGAGCACAACACCACCGCCCAGAAGGCTTCGCGGCCCGATTCAACTTCCGGCCAGAAAGCTGTCTGCGTTTCCTGTGTGGGGAAGGGGCTGCGTCAGTCCCGCGCCGAAGGCCCAGCTGGTAGGTGCCAACCTACCGTGCCTCGCAACCCTGGGGCCTGGCTAGACGCTGAGAATTGCAGTTACAGTCGTTTCGGGAGGGTCCAGCCAGGACTCTGAGAGGAATTACGCGGGTGCCTCTCTTGACCACATTTCCCAGAGGGCTCGGTGGCCCGTCGCTCTTCTCGCAGGAACGCGAACGTTTCGTCACGCCTGGCGGGACCGTTAGATCCGTGAGGTGCAGAAGAGAAGGAAAGAATGCACAATGAACTTCTACAAGCAATGTCCAAGGGGTCAATGATGTTCAGGGATGTATCTATAAACTTCTCTCAGGAGGAATGGGAATGCCTGGACTCGGGTCAGATGAATTTATACAAAGAAGTGATGTTGGGGAAATTCCAGCAACCTGGTTTCAGTGGGACTTTCCAATTCTAAGCCAGCTGTGATTTCCTTATTGGAACAAGGAAAAGAACCCTGGATGGTTGAAAGAGAGCTGACAAGAGGCCTTTGTTCAGGGAGAAGCTGGGAGCTGAAGTTTTCCTCCCACTCACTCTGCACTGAGCAGAGAAAGGAGCTGTGATCTGGAATCTATGTGTGAGACCAAGATATTATCCCTAAAGAAGAGACATTTTAGTCAAGTAATATTTACCCATGAAGACATGCCCACTTTTATTCAGCCCACATTTCTTACTCCACATCAAAAAACTGTTAATGAAGAGAAACCCTGTGAATGTAAGATATGTGGAAAGGCCTTTAATCAGAACTCACAATTTATTCAACATCAGAGAACTCATTCTGCTGAAAAAAGCTATGAATGTAAGGAGTGTGGGAAGTCCTTTAGCCGTGGCTCACTTGTTACTCGACATCAGAGGATTCACACTGGTGAAAAACCCTATGAATGTAAGGAATGTGGCAAGGCTTTTAGTTGTAGTTCATATTTTTCTCAACATCAGAGGATTCACACTGGTGAGAAACCCTATGAATGTAAGGAATGTGGAAAAGCCTTTAATTATTGCTCAAACCTCAATGATCATCAGAGAATTCACACAGGTGAGAAACCCTATGAATGTAAAGTATGTGGAAAAGCCTTTACTAAGAGTTCTCAACTTTTTCCACATCTGAGAATTCATACTGGTGAGAAACCTTATGAATGTAAGGAATGTGGGAAAGCCTTTACTCAACACTCAAGGCTTATTCAACATCAAAGAATGCATACTGGTGA